CTGGCAGCCCCCTGCTCGGGCACAGCGCCAGCGAGCGAGGACCGAGGGTGGCTGTGCCCCACACTGTGGCCGTGGGGCCAGCAGAACCCCTGGGTGTGGGGACAGCGTGGCCACCCTCAGCATCCTGACCCCCAGCACCCACAGCCCCCTCTGCACCCCAGCTTAGCTGCCTCCTGCATCCCACTGCAGGGACGTGCCAGCGCCTGCAACCCCGCACCAGCCCGGGGCTCTGTGACGTTTGCCATGGGGACAAGGCTTAGAGGTGGCATGGGCACAGGACCCACCAGCCGGGCTGCTTAAATGGAGCCTCTGCTCAGCGAGGGACGCGACTGAGCCCGCTCGCTGCTCCCTGCCAGGCAGCGGGGTATCCCTTACAGCCTGCACTGCGCCTCCGGCCCGGCTCTGCCAGCATCCCCAGGGATGTCTCCAGCCGTCCTCCATCTCCACATCGGGAAGCTGAGCTGCAAACGTGCTCTGCTGTGCAGCTCTGGCCCCTCCAGCTCCCTCCCTCCTCCCTGCTTTGTGTGTGCCTTGTGTGCACACACGTGTTTACTTGTGCGTGTTGGCGTGTGAGTCTCCGTGGTGCGGGCGTTCGTAGGATTTGTGTGCGTGTTTCTACCTGTGCCTGGGTCTGTGTGCAGCTTGTGCATGTGCATGGGGGTGTTGGAGGTGGGGGGGGGTTTGCAGCTCCCTGTCTGCCCTTATGGCCCTGGGTGGGGGGCATGGGGCTGGTTAGCTGGGCTCAGAACACAGGGGAGGTGGAAGGGCTGGGCCGCAGGCTGCCCAGGGCACCCAGGCTGCGCCCACCACCGCTGCAGACTCGGGCTGCTCCCTCGTGTGCGCTGAGAGCGACCCGTGTAGACAGGCAAAGGAGCGCGCCGTGCCTGTGTGCGCAGCACGCGTGCGCGGCATGCACCGTGTGCGAGCCCACGGCTCTCTGTGTCTGCGCGGCCGTGTGTGCGCTGGGGCTACTGGTGTGTGATCTGTGCCGGCGTGTGCCTGTGTCTCGTGTGCATGGGTGTGCTCGCGTGCGTTGCATGGTGCTGGGGGGGCCCAGGGTGCGGTGTGGGATGGGGAGGGGGTGCTGCTGCGGTGCACGGACGTGCAAGCGTACGCCCCGGGGGTGTGCGTGCCTGTAGTGCAGGCAGCGGGGCGTGTTTGTGTGTCTGTACCCGGTGCAGTGCGTGGTCGTGTGTGCACACGGATGCGTGGATGCATGTAGCATGTGCGCACCAGCGTGTTTGCACACCAGGACGAGCGTAGTTGTGCGGTGCTCTGTGTGTGCGTGCCCGTGTTTGCACAGTGATGCATGTGTGCCTGCAGCATGTGTGTGCGTGCAGCGCAGCCCACGGGCATCCCCCCAGTGCACGCACGGCGCTCCCCGTGCCCGCATCTCCCCACAGCGGGTTGTTGCCCATGTGTGCACGTAGCTCTGCGTGTGCCCGCGTGTGCCCGCGGCGATGCGTGTCTGCGCATGGGGTGCGGGTGCATGCGTGTTGCTCTCTGCACGCATGGCGGTGGGTGCGCATGCCTGCGCACCCGCTCTGTGTGCCTGAGCCCGTGGGTGCCCCGGGGGGGGTGAGCCCATGGATGCCCAGGGTGCGGGTGAGCCCGG